AGTGGCTTTACGTTAGTGTTGAGAATCGGAATTTTGTCCTTTTTGCTGAGTACAGAAGATTTCTTCAGGGATTTCAGAATGACGCATATCTGTCTTTCCCTTCCTGCCTCTGGCATTACTGTTCTTTTTTAAATAGCGGTGGTGTTTTCTTTTCATACGGGGTAACTTCGCTAACTCCACTGTAAAGTTTCCTTCTTTACCGGACATACTGTCTGCCAGGCCAAGAATCAAATACAATATATATATGTCTGCAGGTCAAGATGATGGTGTTTGCTACCAATGGAATGTTGGACATGTATTTCTTCCCATCTTGCACTTTTCAGTTGGATGTATGTACATATCAATTGAATGCTGGCATGTTTCTGACTGAGATTCGAGTTCAACACCCGCTACAGACCAACCGCTTCGGCCAAATACAACCAATCAATGGGAAATACAAAATTATTTCTGCGTGACTACTTAAAGTAGTCAGAATCAATGACGGAGAGTGGAACCATTGACTAGCACTGGCTGAAACATTAGTTCCTGAGTCAGTGAGGCATATTTCCGCAGTCCATCGTTTTCCAGCTAATACAATGAAACAATAATAATATTAGCAATTAACTGTGAGACGAGACTTGGACTGTAGACTAATATTAATACTATTCCCTTGGGTTCCGAATGGAACGTAGCATTTCCTCATCACATCTCCACTTTTTCCTGTTCTCAGCAGTCCTCGTGATCACTTAGAGAATATTCCCCAAACTGAGATGAACACAAAGGACAGTTATCATTGCGACAGCAACGGCAACGTTTATAATTCAAAATACAGGGCATATATATATATATATATATATATATATATAGTTTACAAAACCCCAGAAATTCAAACCAAAAATAAAAAACAAATCTGATTGGCTGTATGGCATCGCAAATTGTCGGAAATTCAAACCGAAAATAAGCCAGTCAAAAGCCGTCCAATCTGGTGATCAAGTCAGTTCACTCATGAATTATGACTTGACGGCTAACATCGATAAGTCTTGGCCCCCATAAAAGTCGAGTTTCCTCTCTAAGGCCCGCTACGTGGTGTCACTCAGCTATCTTCTCAGCGTTTGTCTGACCCATCTCCTTTTCATTTAGTATATTTGTTTTTATCCGTGGGCCATAGATGGGAGGAGCCATATAATGCTAATTGAATGACTGATATGACTAGTTTGACGCCACCAGCGTCAACCAGTAATGCTTGTTAACCAGCTAGTTAGGCAGTCAAACATAAGTGATATGAACACCAGACTGTCGTTTAGCCGACTTTAGGACGGCACTTTTGAATGTTTGGCATGCGGTTCGCTGCTGTCAAATGCAAATGATGCTACAAGAGTGTAGGTCTTTACTGACTGCCAGTTGTAAGAAAGAGGGTGAAGTGGACTGGTAGGGTGTACCAATGACCACTTCCCTTATTTGCTAAGTTACATCAGCCACCCCAAGTTGCTTGCTGGCGAAATCTAAGTACGGACACAAAAGTTTCATTTGAGATTTGCCAACTTACACACCATCTCTGCCTAAGTAGACGTGATTAATGGCTGGTTATCGATCAAAGGACGTGAGTGCTGCACAGCAGCAGTAGTTCGCTCCGTCCTCCTTTATGGTTGTGAGAGGCATGCCAGCCATTGAAAATGGAAGACATGAAAAGGCCGGCTAGCTGTCTCTCATCATAGGTACTTGCGCTGTACCTACATGCCATGTTAGATGGTATAATAGGGTGAGTAATATTACTGTGGTTAGGCGTCGAGCACTAGGTAAGGAGGGAAAGTCAATCAACGAGGCTGTGAAGCAGCTGCACCGATTGAAATGATGTGTGTTACGCATGCTAGCCTAGTCATTGATCGCCTTCCTCGATAGGAAATGTTATTTGAGCTAACATAGGATGGATGAAGTTGGAAAAGAGTTAGCTTGGGGTAGTCAGACCAAGACATGGCTTCATCAGTCAATGAAATCCATAACAGCGGTTAGTTTAAGCCAGCCAGTCAGCCACTACGTAGGGAGATGTAGAGTGCCTGCCTACCTGGTTGAGGTCTTCAGAATGATGAGAACCAATGATGGCTGGGGACAAATTGGTGGTGGTATGGCTCAAAATCCTAGTTGTCAATGATGGCGAATGTGCATTCATTCTTTGTGATTTGCCATATCATCCAATAAGACTCTATTGTGTTCTTCCTTACTACTATTCTTTTCCCCTCACTCACACTTCTGTTTATTGTCTCACTCTCTTTTAAGTCTCTCATAACTCTCTTCTTTTACCTTCTTGTGTTACGTGGAGGGAGAGTGGCAACTCAAAGCTTTAGATATCGGTGCAAAGTAGTAGTACACCACCCTGTTTTACTTACTTAACAGAGTCAAAACAGCCGACTACTTTACCTAAATGCCAATATACGGAATAGCCTGTGGTTCACAACTTATATAGTTGTTCAAGGTGAATCAGGTCCCTATTTTGAAATGGGAGAATGAAAGAGGCCTAATTATCTTTTGATCATGGATGTCTACATTGAGGGTTTCATTTTATGTGCCATAAATATTGGCAGGCAATAGCTATTGCTAAGTATTGGAGGGGGGGCTGCTTTAGAACGGAAAGTCAGTGAGGTTGTGAAGCAGTTGTATCAACTGATTCGGTTAGCGCACGAGTTATTCATACCCGCTATAGATGCTTCAATGCACAAAAAAAGATATAAGAAATACAAGAAATGGGAAAATGAAACTTATTTTTAGCTTGAATTGGAGAGGTGAAATGGGCTGGTAAAAGCCTTCGGAAAACCAGTCGGCCAGCCGATGTGTTTTCTTCCCATGAAAGTAAAAATAGGGATGGGGGCGTGGCATGCTACTGTCCACGCCAAGTAGAATGTTAAGTCACATAATCCTGGAGCGAATAAGAGATGCAATGGATGCAGAACTTCATTAACCCACAACAAGCTCGATTCAGGAAAGGCAAATCATGCGCTGATCAAGTTGGAAACCTACAATTCAACAACGAACCAAGAGAGAGCACAGAATGGAATCCAAACCTCTGTCTCAGCTTCATCCTAACCTTGAGGGAACCTCTGACAAACAGAGTTGACCGTGAGGTAGTTATGACTCTACTTCAACACTATGGAGTGCAGTGCACCAAATCTTAATCAACCCCATTCAACCAGTTGGCTATATGAAAATCGTACGTGTCAAGTGATCTACAACGGAAACCTCAGCGAAACCTGCCTTCGAAGTTGGTGAATACAGGCGTAAGACAAGACTGCCTGTTATCACCGATGATGTCTCTACTTTTGGTGGACTGAATTATGGAGGAGAACATCGGTGGGGTGCTTGAAGGCAGGATTACGTTTGGCCGATGAGAATATCCTAGAAGACCTAGGTTTCGCGCATCGATGATTTATGTCAAACATCAGATTAACTCGAAGAATTACAAAGAGGCAGAAAACAACAGGTAGTTTTCAGAAGAAGCAGAGAAGACAGGACATCACCTGAACAAACAAAAGACTAAGATGGTGAAGATAGCTACTCACCAACAAGAACAACCAGCACAAATCTCTATCAACGGAAGAAATTTGAAAAAGGTTACTTCCTTCATTTATCTGACTAAGAAGCATCGTTTCAACTACACACAAAGGGACTAATAAATATGTCAAAGCCTGAGTCGAAAAGGCACACCCTCATCACTCTGAAATCAGATTGCAAATCTTCACTGTTCCACAACACAATTACTAGATTCGGATTTTCAACACCTATGTTAAGTTGACCAATTATTTCTTCTTTATGGGTGAGAGACGTTATCAGAACGTCACGAAAAGCATTTCAGACTTCTGTCAACAGCTAGCCTCTTCCCTAACTCCATATTGAAGGTCAAATAGCCGGCTTGCCGGAAAGAATTAATAATAAGGAACTCTAGCAACGATTCAACCAAGAGCTGCTTGCTCAACAAATATGCAGAAGAAAATGGAGCTCGACTGAGGACACTTTGAGGAGACTGTGAAATACGGTCGCGCGCCAGCCAAACCATCTCTCGACTGGAATCCGAATAGGAAGTAAGCGACGAGTCGGTCTTTTTTTTTGATTTACAGCTTGATTTCCACACCGTATTTTCAGTACAAGTGTGGAACTTTCCGCATGGATATCGGTTGCCCAAATTCAGGCATACCATAGATATCGGGCGTGCGCCGGCAGGGGTTCGAACCCCGGACCATGTGCATGGTCGGCGAGAGTCCTAACCACTGTGCCACCGTCGAAGGGTGAAATGGAGGAGATTGTGGGGCGAGGAGGATATGAGAGATTATGCACAATCTTAGGCCCAGGTACAGAAGACATCAGACAATAGAACAAAGTGGAGATGTGCGTCGATTGAAGCTCTATGTTCCACTTGGGGCCCAAAGGAAAAATAACAATAGCAATATATGCACTTATAGCCCAAAAATCTAGTACAACAGAGTTTAAGGAACAGATGTATCAAGTGAAGTTGAGAATATGTGGTGTAGGAATGATGATTCAACGCTGTGCACCTAGACACTTTTTAAAATTTCGAAGTTGTTTATAATTACAATTGACGACATGATATGATTATGAAAAACAGTAATAAATGGAATGACTTTTCTGATATAATTAAAGTGTGCTCAAAATCAGCTGGGCAGCACGGGGAGTCCTATGAAAGAGCTGTATATTAGCTGGAGTGAGACAAACAATGTCCCCATCACCATAAAAGTTGGAGTGATTTATTACCAAGGCAATAAAACAAAATCACTGACGTGAATGAAGTAATACTGATTTTGTTGAACATTGAACAAGTGGAGTTTTGTTTTATCAAACACAAAAATAATATTTCGTCACTTTTAAAATATTGTCTTCTCCAAAAATATATATATATGATCGTAATAAACTTATGAATTTATTGCTTGTAATGAAAGTAGAAATAAAGTTGCAGGAAAAATTTTTTTTAGTTTTCTTTTAGAAACGATCATTCAATAAATGACAACTATATTTATTTATAAATGTGATACATTTAATGATGAATTCTCCATTATTAACGTTGAACCTTGTTGATCAAAATGATTTTGATCATCGTGATAGTTGACAATGCCTGATGAATTGATGATACTCGATTCTATAGATGAAAATTTAGCGAGAAAAAAATGAGAGAACAATGAAACATCTTAAAATATAATATTTTGGGTGTGGTAGGAATCAGCTTAAGATGAAAAAAAAACATCATATGATTTATTGTGTGATCGGATGATAGTAAATTTAACCGTTTTCTCACAACTTAGACTTAGTCCAATCGTCGGCAAATCAGAATTTTCACTTTTTGCTGACCTAGCGGAATCAGAAGAGTCGATTTCCACTGCCCTGGACCGATTCTAATATGGTTAAAAGATATGTAAAATATGACGTGCTCTCATTCAATAAAGGTCAGATTCTAATAGTTACAAGTGCCAATCTTTGTCTTCTGATATTTATGTGGCTCAGAGAAGCGGTAGGTACCATGGATGAATAGAATTATTTAGCATACGAGTTGAGTTGTCCATCGTGTTGGTACTATTATACCTACATGCATAGGTTCAGTCGGTCATATCAGCTGTCGACGTGATCAGATCAACTGGCGACAGGTACGAAACCGGGGGGCGTTACCATAATGCTGGGTGATGCACTCAGACTGTCAACCTAACCATCGGCTTATTAGTATTCTTAGAGAAGATGGAAAAGTTTGAATATAGACACCCAAGAGGCACAAATGAATTGTAGGTGTAGGTAATTCCCCAGAATTATTAGCCACAGCATTCATGACTGAATATTGGATGCTGTCCCTCACTGTTTAGCTCTACTTGTTCACCTGAAGGCTAACGGTCAAGCGTCCACACAGTTTGGCACGTTGTCATGTTGCGTTCGGATGCTTGTGCACGATCCCTAGCTAGTTAAGCAATTACTCCTGCACTACGATTTGGTTCCGAAATATACTTTATAATTCGGACGATTAATTTTGGCGTTAGGCTTTGCCTTTGGTCTCGACGAGGAACGAATACTATAGAAGTTGTGGATATTAGATCTTGCAATAGTATATATCGTACTATCCGTGAATGTCAAAGCCCTCAGCCTCTAAAGCAATAACCACTGTGGAAGGAGTGATTGTGCTTGAAAATACATTTGACCCTCTCACTCCGAACTAACCTTAACCTTAATCTGTCTCTAACCAAACCTAATGTTTCCCCTCATTAGGTCAACTGGAGCCTCACCTGTCCCTAGTTCAATTCTAAGCTCAATGTTTCCCTAGCATAACCTAGAACTCATGAGACACCCTGTTTACGCTATCATCACACTTCTCTCAACATCTTTGTGTAACGAATGTAGTGTGTTATTTACCTGAATTTAATGCCCTGCACCCTGTAACTGAGCATTCCAGTGTCATTTGTGCCATTTGGATGTTTGTCCCTAAAGTTTAACTTCCCTGTATTTATGTGTAAACCTCATAGAATTCCTCATTAGATAAGTTTATTTTACAAAATAAATTATTACCACTCATAATCATCGCATCGATTTAGTCACACAGCTTCACAATTTGTCTTATATATTTTTTCTCTCTTTCTCTCTTCGAACTCGCTTTGTTGTTTTTTGCCGCTTTCCATATCTTCAGTATAGGCGTTGAGTCATTTTGATCGCACATGTGAAGTGTACTGAATCGATAAACACAGATTCAGTCAGTGTTTAGTCTCTCCCTCACTGTCTCCAACTAACTAAATCCCTTTTCAATACTTACACTCTGTCCCCCTTACCCTGTTGTGTGGTTATACGCAAGTGAACGCAATGCAGTACATTGGGCGAGCTGTATCTTTTTAAGGTTATTTAACTTAGCAGGATCATTCATTTCGTGTCTAGCCAAATTTCTATATTCTGACAATCTAACTGATCCCGCTTTTCTGATAGTTTGATCTATTATGTAACTGACCTCACGGTCATTACATGGTATTTGGTAATTTATGTATAATTTTAAATCTATTGAGTCCTTCAGCTGACAAAGTTTATCTCTGAGTGGGTTGATTGGTTGGTTCGTTGGTGTAAATGCCACCTCAACTAATTTCAGCTTCAGTGAGAATCGTACATAAGGCCTCTGATATTCCTTTTTTATACAGCAGTACTACTCAGTCTCTGAATTCTGTATAATTTTCTTCGTTTATTTTGTCATTTTCATTACTGAACTAATTTTTTCTCTGGTTTTTCATACACTCGGAAGTGTATCAATGTACCACCCCACATGCGCAATAAAAATTATGTAACGCTTATACTGAAGATGTGAAAAGTGACAACGAACTACAAGGAGAAGAGAATATATATATATATATATATATATATATATATATATATAGAACAAGTCGTGAAGCCGCGTGACCGAGTTTTAGTTTTATTTTTGATTACAGCTTGATTCCACACCGTATTTTTTGGTACAGGTATGGAATTTTCAGCATGTGATATTGGTAGCCCAAATTTTTCAGGCCCATCATAGATATCAGGTGTGAGTCGGCAGGGGATCGAACCCCGGACCATGTGCATGGTCGGCGAGAGTCCTAACCACTGTGGCACCGACACACAAATAAACGGAGGACCATGAGGCCTCACCACTGACAAAAACTACACGCCCGAGCGCACCCGATTAGGGTTCGTCCCGAGTTTTAACCCACCGAGGTGCAATGGTGAGCCTCCACCCGGGGTCAGAGCATTCCTGATCACCCTGAACCCGGCATCAGGTAAGTTTTATAAAAAATAAAATAGAAAAAATAAATAAAAAATTTTCGGAAAACAACTGGATCTCCACAAGGACATATATTGCAAAAACTAACACCTGCTATGAAAGCCTACCAAACTTTGCCACCTAAATCTAAATTTGCCCAGTAGTTGAGAAAGTAACGCCGAATGTTCAACTATACAGTTCACAAGTAATTCTGTGGAGGTACAGGACAGTCAGGATCAACTCAGAAATATCTTCCTTGACAATGGTACATGATGGTGTACTACAAGGTACTACACTCAGCCAACACTTATTTATCCTGAATATGGACACATTAAATCTATTTTTTATTCCTTTACGTTTCTAGTGGAACATAGGACTTCAAGCTAGAGGCTTGAAGTTTCCGCAACAGTGGTGTTTATTTTTACGGGATGAGGTAGCTAGCAAATACAAGTTGGTATGATGATTAAGAGTGGCAACAATTTATGCTGGGAACCTTGTCATCCAGTTGTTAATGCAGCATCATCACTGTGTTTGATATTTAAAATAAACGTATCTGATATGGTATGACATTCTACTGTAACTACAGTAGGCAAGACACGGCAGACAAAGTATCTTTTTCATTAATCGAAACGTTATTTGTGTATATACAGTTTTTATTCGTTAACCAATCACTGAGCGTGTGATCTAGATTTATATTAAGTGGAATGAAATAGAATGTTCAGATATACATATTATTCTTTTGTTAATGCACTATATAACCGTGTGAAGTGAATTCTATCTCTAACATCAAATAGAATATTCAAATAGATATAATGAATGCAGCTTTGAACTGTGGGAATAACATTCCGACTCTAGCATCAAATCGAATGATCACATGTACATAGTATTCTGTTTTTAATGCTGAATTAAACCGTGGGCACAAGTGAGAATAACATTCCTTTGGCACACATTGTCTGTATCACACCACCACACTAACACAGTGACCAAGTTCTACACTTATACTATTCATGAAATTCTTATTCATCATACCAGTGATACCGTCTGAAATCGTCTCATTAAAAGGTCATTGAATTTATACAAATGTATACGAAGAATTTCATTGTCGATTTAATCTACACATTAATGATTTTAAGATGTATACTTTTAAGCAATTGATATAGCGGTCAATTGGCCAATATGGTTCACTATATATGAATGATGTGAAGTGGAAGCACATTGATGGCACTAGAATTTCAATGGAGCTATGCCATGAATAGACGGACATGAATACATACTGAAAGCATAAGAGTTAACCTAGAATAGATTATTAGAATATCTTAGAAATATTTAATTCAACTTGAATTTTCTCGGTGGTTGATTGGACCGAAGTTCTCTGCCTCAGATTTACATGTTGGCTTCTGGTAAGGATGCTTGAACAATGTCTGAGGATTTAACTCGAAGCGATTTTGGTAGAAATGGTGACTTGTAGTGGAATCCAGGATGCACGCTTCGTCCTAGTAGGGACTCGTCATCATTTCAGTCTAGTCAATCAACAGGAAAATCGAAAATGAATTAAATAATAACTGACACCTGTTGCACAAGACGTGGTGGTTGTCGTGATTCAGGTGATCTAGTGGATAATGTTTTCGTACTAGCTTCTAGCCCCACTAGAAACATTATCACTCACTGAAGAACACAGGTACATCCAGTGACGAGTTCCAGAATGGGACGAAATGCATATTCTGGAATCCACACACTCCCAGTCTCCAGCCAACAAATTATCCTAGGAATGTTTTGATCACGGTTCGATGTCCGTTAGAGAACCACTGAAAACCACTAGTGGGGAGTACGGAAAACCTGCTTCATTCCCGTAAATTTGGTCTTATCAACAGTTTGCACCACCCACCATCAGGGTTCTAAAGATGGTACTTCCGGTTAAAATGCAAGTTCGTAGACTATTTCAGCGAATGGCTGGCGCATGTATTCCAAGTACAACCAGCTTTTGATTTTAACGAGGCTGCCACCAATCAGTACCATCAGCGGTGGGTATTTGTCCTAATACCTAATCTAGTGGACCTGGAGTGCCCCATAGCCACCAAACTGTGGAACAGAACGACCGTCCAGTACTCCGCGCTAAGTGGTTTTCCAGTAGTTCTCTATTATTATTATTATTATTTTTTTGTTCCCTTGGCTTCCAAGTGGAAAATGCGGCTTCAACAACACATTTCCACATTCTCCTATTTTCTGCTATCCTCTTCAGCTGGGTCCACGATTCCCCAAAATCTCTCATCTCTTTCTCACACGATCTCCTCCATGTCACCCTAGGATTACCCAGTCTTCTCTCATTTGGATTCCATGCAAGGGCCTGGCACGCGATGTCATTCGACGGTCTCCTCAATTTATGC